ATTCCACGACGACGCGCCGTTTCATCTTCCGGACCATGACCATGACCCGGAACCGGCGCCCCGGGTGTTACAACTGTCTGGGCAGGGCTGCATGCATAGCTGCCCCACTGGACTTTCACGTTGGCCAACGTAAACCGCATTATGGTCTCTCTGTCTTTTTTTCAGTTTTAGGGACTGGCCTGGTCTACCCGAGCGAAAGATCCCCCTCCCCCTCACACACACTCTAGGCCGCAGCTTCAGCCAAAGAGACTCACGCTATCTAATTAACGCTCATCAAGACGCCCATAACACAACTGATGGATGGAAGGCACTGCACCAGCCCCCCTGTAGAAAAAAATAGACCCGTCGCGTTTTCAAGAATCGACAAGAAAAAAGACGCGCCTCCTTCATGCTTGGGCAGTCTTGCGGTCCGGGCCTGGTGCATATATTTCTCAAATCTATTCCCACCCTTCAGCTCCTGCGCCGGGCGGAGCTGGAGCATATAGGCTAATTTGTGGATACACGTGGGCCTGCGTACACGTGCACTCGGTGGGGCGCTCAGGGCGGGCCGCCGTCTTCACGCGGCTGTTTGGCGGGTTGGCCTACCGAGCTCGTAGCAAGCGCTGTCATTAGCGTTGCCAGGTGAAACATTCATTGTGGTGGCAACTTAAAAGCGAAAGCGTGGTGATCTTATCTCGGCACATCCACGAGTGTTTAAAAAACTTTGCGGTCGCTATGCGGTCGCGCTTACGCTACAACTTACCTTTATTTTTCCACCTTCACATTCTAAAGTTCTTGTTTCCCCTCATGTTACAGCCTGCGAACACCGGCGCCATGTACCTCCGCGCCGACCCCGAACCATCCAGCAGGGCGATGAGGAAGTGCATCGACGGCCACGCTGTGGCGCTGATGCCCGAGGCCCAGGCCATGACCTCGGGTCTGGCCACCACGGTGACCCCCAACACGGTGGAGACGACGGAGTCGCCGCCGCCCGCCTCCACCACACAAGATTCGTTGGAGGCGGCTACCACCCTCCTGCCCCCGGTGCCGGAGGTTGCCGCCAGCAGCGCCGCCCCGCCGCCGGTGGCCACCCCGTCGATGACCTACGCGGCGCGCGACGCGGTGGCCGACGCGATCCGGGAGGAAGGGCGGAGCATCGAGCAGCAGCGGCGGGAAGTGGAGGACTCGCTCAACGAGCTGTTCACCAGGGCGTCCTCCAGGTTCGGGCGGTACGCGGCGGGCTTCCCCCAAGTGCAGGCCAGAAGCTTGTTCAACCGCCGCATGTCTTTGGTGCCGCCTCCCCCGCCGCCGCCGCTGCCGTACGAGGTATGCTGACGAAAGTGTCAGGAAACACTCAATTATTACCTTCAAGCTACGATGGCGCATGCTTTTTTTTATTAAAATAACTTGTAATGTAATTCCCTTTCCCCAGATGCCGCCCGAAGTGAGCAAGGACGTGTACATTCACTTGGCCGCTGACGAGAGGGCGCCCACGATGCCCGCACCGCCGTCGCTCCCGCCGCGCAAGCACTACAAGATCATTGTCATCAAACCACCTACCCCCTCACCCCCCGTGGAGACGACGACTCGTAGGGTGGATGTGGAGACGCTCATCTACGTCCTGGTGCCCAAGGGAGAGGTGCCAGCCCCGCCCACCACGACGCCCCGTCCTCCCAGCAAGCACGAGGTGTTCTTTATCCGCTACAAGGCCCCCGTCGACAACAAGACCGCTTCCGTTGGCCGGGACACCGAGGCAGAACCCTCCTTTGTTCTAGACACCTCGACCACGACCTCGACAACCAAGCCCCCGACAATGTTTCCGGATTATGCGAATCTCATTGATCTTCGAAGCTCGAGCTCTGAGATCAGTGAGCGTAATACGCCGTCTGACGAGGACGAGAACGAACTGGACGGCACGGTGGGGGACTCGGACGCCATCAATGATCTGCTTAGTGTGTCTACCGACGACATCGTGCGCAGTTGGCGACGCGCTGACGGGGACATCCACTTTGACGCCGACCTGAAGAGGATAGCGCGTAGCCACAGCAGCCATGCTGAGTCCGTCTCCAAGGACGTATCGAAAGGGGATGCGATGGACTCCGCCGAGGATGCCGTCCAGGAAGCCACCTCTCCTCCGGCAAGGTGTCGTCAGTACGCCACGGCCGAGGACCTAAACGCGGCGCTGGATGTTGGAGACGAAGAAGGCAAGCGTGTGCAGGGAGCCCCCGACTTTGACGCCGTCTTGCAAGGCAAAGCCCACTATGGCGGCAACGCTGAGATCGCAGAGATCTGCGCCGAGAAGTCCGCCAGCGAACCCTTCGCCATCCGGAACGTGCTGGCGCCGCCAGCTGAACTCAAGCATCTCGAAGACGACTCCGAGAATCAAAGGAGGGTTGACGTTACCCCCAAGGCAAAGTTTTCTGCCCGGTACTCGTCGTCATTAGTGTTTTAAGCGATAACCAACAAAACCTTGTCTAATTTTATTTATTTATTCCCAATTTTGTCTTTTTCATTGTGTAAGTTTAAGAATGCTCAATAAAAATGTGCCTATGGAAGTGCTGTGTGTGAACCCTTTTCTTTTCTCCGTGAATAAATTCACGATTACTTACTGTATACGTTGCTGTGCGACTTCATCTTTTAAATTTCCCGCTATTGTAGAGGGTATTGAGAGGTCTCTCTCGGCCGACACCGAAACTAACCTAACGCGCAGGTTCCTTTTACTGCCGACTGATGGCGCTACTTGTGCCATCTGAACATCAGAAAAGCACAGACTAGGCCTCCGCACACACTTAACCAAAATGACTAGATAATTTTGTTTATAATCAATGGAAAAACAAAGTCTCGAAAACTTAAGTTACAAGTTGCTGTTATATCAATCAATATGCTGGCAAAAGAATGTGCTTTTCACAGACGGGGGCGGTTAAGACAGTTAAGCAGCATGGCTTAAGATGTGCTTAACTAGACAAATAAGTCCCCATCAGAAAAGGTCGAGTGTCAACCGAGGTATTTCTTCATGTTCGCATAATATGCCACCTTTCCTAGTTTCCCATTTAGTTTTGTATCTCTTTTGAGAAAGAGTACTGCGTAATATGCAGTGTTGGCTGGTCCTTTGGCCGCCCCGCCGTTCTGCGCAGGACGACGCTCACTTGTTTCCCGCATTGGCCGCGTTGCATTGTGGGCCCTGCCGCCATGTTGGTTGACGTAGGGGTCGCCTCGTGACGTCACGTTCGGGCATCTCCGGACGATGGAAAATGGTTTTGATTGGCCGACGAAGTTTCCCCGAATGGGTCAATGTCTGAGGCATCCGAAATGAACTTTTCGTGGTTTTAGTGGTGGTTTTATGTACCTAACTTATTTTATGTAGAGTTTTCTTTGTAGTGTACATAGTGTAAAATACGTGGACTTTGTTTGGGTGTGAAAAGACTCCGTTTCATGACCTAAAACGTTCGCCGTGAAGATCGACTTGGAAGTTACACTTGGTGTACAGAGAGTGCAAGGGTGTTCTCAGATTATGTGAATATTTCCAAGTCCATGGACTTATGTTGGGAGTTCCAGACATGAGTGGACGGCCCCGAACTACTTCCTTTGCAGAAGGAAGCAGACAGCCCAACAACCCCCCATTAGGAGGCATGAGAGTATCCAGTAAGTAAAAGTGAACCGTGTTCTGTAGTGTCGTCGTTTAGGCCTGGCCTGCCCCTGTTCAAATATGGCTGCTCATGGTATCCGAATACGAAATGCTGCCCGTCCCTCGCCCTTATTCGTGCTCATCTAATGAATGAGGAGAGTAATCACGATTAGCGACGGTGGTCATCCTCGCGCGCTTGTCAACCAATTAGGGAGCTCGGACAGGCGGGGCACGGAGAGGAAGGTGGCTGCTCGCGGGGCCACAGGAGGTTGTCAGGAAAGGTTAGCCTAGCCCGCGGTTCTTGGCTACAGATGTTCAAATCATTCATCCCCCGTGGCCGTTCCTTTGGTAAGTCACTGCACTATTTACATTGAATGACCTTTCCGTTCGCTGGGCATCGAGAGGGCCCTGGCCAACATGCAAAAAACTATTGGCATCTTCAATAGGTCAAATTGGCTGTTGCCTAGGCCAGCCTGGGGGCCCATTCCTCGGGTTATATTATAACCTTTTTCCAAGTGTTCTTCACGAATAAGTGATTTTTTGTGTGACTGGGTATGATACTTTGGACAGGTGCACATCTCGGCCCCATGAGGAAAGGTATGAAGCCATCCCTTTTATGAAATCTCAAGCCCCTTCTTGCCTTTGGGTAGTCTGCATTATAGGTTAGGCCTCCCATTAGTTATCCTTGGTGTACGGTTTGTCGTTAACAATGCTGTCAGAATTTTTTTTGTCGGCATGTATCCAGTTTATTTTCTTTATTGGTTCAAATAAAATGTTGGCTAGGAGAATTTCTGGCCGTGACATCATTATAATATCTCATACCACTGACCCCAGAGATACCATATTTTTGCTCTATAGTGGATCAAAATGTTCTTTTTAATTTACTGTTCTAGGTTGTTTTGTGTCTTACCAATCTTTTGCTGAGCTAGATCAACTTGTGTCTTTATTATTATCTAGTTATAATGCATTTTGATACACAGGTCAATCAAGGCTGGATCAGCTGTCCTCCAATTGTCCATATATGGCAAAGACCTTCCAGACCTAACCTATGTCTACTTATTTCATCCTCAGTGCCCTATAATAATTACTTTTTAAAAATCTGATCTCATTAGCTTGTCAAATTTTAAAATGTATGCATTAATTTCAAGGATGCAATTTTATTCATTTTGTGCTGTTACAGTTAACATTCCTCTTGCGTTGTCAATACGAGTTTTGCGTTACACTACACAATTAGATTTTTCTTTTATTAGTAATTTGTGTGGTTTGAATCGAAGTGTCAGCTGCTATTAAAATCATTACTTTCAGCATATTTGTTTTTAGTGTACTGGTAGTTGAATGTATAATTTTTACACATACCCATTCCCTTAAAAAACCAAAACATGAAAAAAGAACCAATAAGAATTGTCATTTTTATTGTGTTCAATATTTGATGGATATTTTTGACCCTTTTCCAGTGTTGAAAAACATATGTGACTGCCTGTACTGTAACTGTTTAGTTAATGAGGTATTTTATTGGTATAAAGAAGACCAGGAAGAACAAGCCAGAACATAACAAGCCTTCAATTGTTTTTCGGAAAT